ATGAGAGTCAAGCAGGGCTGTATTCTTTAGAGAGGAAAGGAAAGAGAAGGCAGGACGCGGGGGACTGGTGGCCCTGAGACAGTTTATATAGACAAAGACCAGTGAGAGGTGACTTACTGTGACACACCGATGACGTGGACTCATCGTTTTTAGAACAGATCCAAACTTGAGAAAGAAAAAGCTCAGTTTATCACATGGCTCTATTTTGAAAACATGTGAACCTACAACTTTTTATTTGGATTTTGAACATTGTAGAATAAAAATTTTACTGTATATTGTAACATAATGTACTATACTACTTAAACAATATAATGTAATATTTATATCATGAGGACAAGGTTCTTTTTTTCTGCTCAATTTGCTATTATATTCCCAGTGTCTAGCTGGACAGCACATAATAGGCTTTCAATAAATATTTATTGACAATGAATTTCTGAACATACTGCCATATCTGGGAACTATAGTATATTATTACAGAGTACAGTAGGGCCTTGACTTAGGAGTTTAATTCGTTCTGAGACCGAGCTCGTTAACTCAAATTACTCTGTCAACTCAATGCAAAAAATCACCCAGAGACAGCTGGTATCTCAAAAAACTCGTTAGTCGGGACACTCGTATGTCAAGGCCCCACTGTAATCTGAAAAGCACGCAAATTAATTAATGTCAATTCTTGAGAATATGGAAATAAAAAATACTTAATTTTTTCTCCTTAGTATTTATAAATTTATGTATATTTTAAAGCTTATTTTGGAAATTATGCATTTAAAGTTAATGCCATAGCCAAGAGATTTCATTCATTCTGTCAACAAAACAATACCTGCAATCAGATTGACAAAAGTTTATTCCATAACTAAACACATTGGTTTCATCACTGCATTGTTTTCTTATAAAAGATTATTTGTTAGTGCATACTATAAGTTTGATAAGAATATTTCAAAACCTAAACCTTGTTTGGTGATAAATTATCTTAGAAAAATCAGACATAATTAAGGCTCTATATTGAAAAATCTCTCAAATCTATCAAAAAATTTAATGTGTTTTTATCATGTACTATACGGGAAAAGAAAGATATTTAAGAACTAAGTAAGTCAAGAAACAAGTGTTTCATGGAGAATCATATAATTTAACTGTTAACTGATATTCCAAGAAACAGTTAGTGTAATTTGGTTTTTTAAATATGTGGGGTTAATATATGTAGCTTTAAAGTACCGTAGTTTGCGAACAGCTTTTAATAGATTCAGGCAGGAAAGGTTATCCATGAAAATTAGTTTTATTCTAGTTTTAAGGAGAGTTGCTGCTGTCTTCTAGGTGTAGAGCACCGAGACTCACAGCACTCTTTCTTGGCATTTTTGAATACGCCTACCGATGCTCTGGACCAATTTGAAGTAAGTATTAAGCTTTTCAAATATTCTTTGGGTCAATTTAAAAATCACTTTGTGGTTTAAAATTTACTTGTAATAAACTAGTATTGCATCCCACAGAAGAGGACCTAGACTCTTAGATATTTTAAAGCATTCTTATGGAAACTGCAATCACTTTTATATTTAAGAAAACATGAAAGAAAGGTCTACATAGGAGGAGAGTCGTAAGATTGAAAAGCAGTTTCATCTCTTCCCCTGAGAAGCAGTAAGTGCAGAACACATCTTGACTTTTGAAGTAATGTTGACTCTTCTCTTTTCACCCAAGTATAGAGCTATAGTAAAAAGCAGTTAAAAATGTCCAAGTTCACAGTAGGACAGTGCTGGTTCCAGTTCCAAATTAATGCAGTTTTTAAAGAAAAAGTATGACATAGAGTGTATTAGGCAGATTCCATATTAACGAAATAGTGATTATATGGCTCTTTATCATTCTTTGGTACTTAATTTTTGCTTTAAAAATCTTTATAAAGTATATTTTAGCCTCAGAAAATTCCAGTTGGTGATTATATCTTTATTCAATGAGTAATCCTACATCTCTGTGCAAGTCACCAATCTAGGTGCCCGAGACAGTGGGCAGATAGAGTCCCACCCACCTCAGAGTTACACTCTAGTGGGAACTATTAGAAGCAGAGATTGTTTCTTTCTTTTAGTCGTCACCTTGGAACATGCTTACACGGAATTTGATTATCGACTGGCCCAGCGCTTCATTTTATTACCTTTTGGGCACAGTATATGAACTGTATTTCATTTCTTTGGGAAAGGGATAAAGAATCACTCTTTAAAAAGTAATTAATGAATTTCTAAGTTTCTTGGGAAACAATGACAGTGACTGCTTTTTTCATTTATTTATTTGAATTAATGTCATTTGCCTTTCAATTGTTTTACAAATTTTTTGATTTATTATTTGTTCTTACTAAATTGCTTCATCCATATTTTCTATTTTTTTATTGCTGTATTCGTTAAATAGGATTCCTTTTCTTCTTCCTCATCTTCACTGATTGATTTTTTGGATGACGTAAGTCTGATTTTCAAACCAATGAATCCTTCAGTAAAAGAGATCAGTGAATTGATATGAAGAATTTGTCTAATGTAGTTAGTTTTAGAAATATTACACTGGATACTTTATTTGTGGGTCATAATTTGTTTCTTTTTTATCTTAAATGTAATGAAGAGTTTATCATTATTAAACATAATTAAAATATACTTTGAAAAATTCTTTGGCCATCAAAGAATCTGTATGTTTTCATTCTTTGCAACAGTTCTGAAAACTGGAATGCTTATTTAATTGTTGTCGCAATATGTAGAGAACGATATATATAAATAACTGCTCATTTTTATTTTTCATGGTGATTTCTATTTCACATTCTCCATCTCCTTTCAGCACTTTATTTAATTTCCCTGTTACTTAAAAGTAAACCTCTGGTGGTATAATCAGAAAAAGTGGCACATTTTATTAAATCTTTCTGTAGGTTTTATAGTAGCATAGTAATTGAGTACAAATCCATTTTTAATGCTGACAGAATTTCTCTTCTAATGTAGAAAGGGTTTTTAGTTCAGTAGGTTCTATATGCACTATAAATTGACCGCATTATCATTTTCTCTCCTAAATTCTATACATTTAATAATTTATCCTTCATTCTCTTTACAGAAATACCTGACATATATATTCTCTTTATTCAGCATTAAAAGGCATATAATCCTTGTCATAAAGCATTTTATTATTCTGTTAAACATTCAGTCTTTCCAGAAACTAGGGAATAAAACTGGTTCAAATTCAAATGTTGTACATAGAGCTGTTTTATCAACCAGGGGAAATTCTTTCAATGTTTTATTTTTGCATTTTGTTAAATATAATTACTGTATTCAGAAGAATATTTCCACTAAAGGAAACCCTTGATCTAGATTTTTTAACTTATTTTTAAAGTGATTTTTTTTATATCTTTGAAATATTTATATCAAAGTATGCACCTTTGCACTCTAAATGGAAACTACCTGGTATTTTATTATTCTTAAGACAGATAATTATTCTAATTAATTCTACAGTATCAGAAAAGGAGAACTATTTTGATGTACAATAGTATTTCATGTTATAACCTGGTATACATTTTATTAGACGAAAATACTCAATATTTCCATACAGATATCATCTATATATATATAAAAGGTGGCCTGACTGACCGACCGGCCAGTACATATGATGCGCACTAGCAAGAGACGAAAATACTCAATATTTCCATACAGATATCTTCTATATATATATAAAAGGTGGCCTGACTGATCAACCGGCCGGTACATATGATGCACACTAGCAAGTTAAAAATAAATGTTGACTCGCGCATGCGCGATACGTATAAAGCTCTTGCTGGCACCAATCGCACACGTTTTAATTTTATAATACTATGTTATATATACTATTTTGACATGTACTTTTTTGCAGTAAAGTAATTACTGCATGAATCTTCTAATCAATTTCCTTTTAATGTGCACAAATCCGTGCACTGGGCCACTAGTTCATCTTTAAAAGACTTGGAAGTTTGAATAAATTATTTAATTTGTTCTTTCCACTAGGAAATCATTTTCATTTTTCTTTCTGACAAACTTTTCTACATCCCCTTGGCCCCACAAAAATCTTTGCATGTAAAACATAGGAGTCATGGTTTGGCAAATAGGGCAGCCCTTCTCAGCAGACGAGCCCGCAGCAGTGCACACCTCGCTGCACCTCACCAGCCCCCATCTTGTCTCTGCTCTGAATGCCGCCCCCACCGCCACCGCCCAGCTGTGGTCAGTTTCCTGCTTCCCTGTTCCCTCCAGGACGGCCCTTCTTACTCCTCACCTGCTGTTGCTCAGCATAAACTCCGTTCGGACGCACAGCCAGCTTTTAAAGCAGTGCAGAGGAGCTAGTACAGAGAAAAGGGAGTTGATTCCAAAGCTGCTGAACTTCATGTCCATGGCTCAGGCTCCAGCTCTGAGAAGGCATGGGTCTCCCCTCACTTGCTCCCTGCGCGCTCTTCTCCCAGATTCCTGGCTGAGTGCATAAGTGGACTCAGAGTCCCCCTCTGCTCCTTTTCCTAGGTGTGTGCTTTGGAGCGAGTTATCTAGCCTTTCTTTGCTCATTGGTTGTTTGAGAACGTTTTTTAAAATGTACGTAATGCCCTCAGTGCTATTGGTTATTATTTCCTTATTCTTAATAGACTCCTTTCCCTGCCCTTCCTGTGTTCTCTTTAGCTTCCTTTCTTGTCCATCAGTTCAGTTTCTCTTCACCCCTCAGCCTTCTAGTCTCAGCCAGTATGAGCCACTGAGTCTTCCTTCAAAATTTTCGAATCACGTTACCATGGGAAAGGGATTTTTACCTGTCAGGGCAAAGGCCGTCAGCAAGCTCCTATTTTAAAAAATCCTGTGTATTTTTAATTTGTGTTTTATGGCACGAACCTCTTGTTCCTCTGTATAGTTTATAACTATGACCAGCCTTCCCAGAATTATCATTCAGTCCGTCCTCAGAGTCATGGGAGAGTGGTGTTGGGAATAATGGTATTCAGTCTGGCATGCTTGGGTTCCGCACCCAAGATATTTAGTATAACATTCAATTCTGTAGATTCTTTTCTCTTGGGCATTTGCATTTTTAAGGAATAAAACAAATCTTGACTGTTTTTTATGCCCAGACCGATTGAGTTGTTGTGTGTGATGCTAACAGTATGTGACTGCCCTCTGGAGAGGTTTCTTATCCTTGCAGTTTTCTCTAAAATCTTCTATAACTCCTGTCGACTCAGCTTCTAAAGTCCTTCCTCTGGGCCCCATAAAACCTTGACCATCCCTGCGACGGTTCCCATACAGACTTTGTCCGTGTCTCTGTTACCGCCTCTATCACACTGTGATGGTTTGGTGTCTCCGCCATTCGGAGGCCTGCCATGCCTTTTTCTGTTAAACCCGAGCACATTCCAACCCTCAGCATGGGAGGTTGAAGTGAAGATAGTAAATTGCCTGGGTAGGGGTGGTTCATGTTTGTGAAGCTCAATATTTCATTTTCAAAAACTTGGTAAGTGAATTGAGAGACTCGGAAGTATGGCCAGTGGTTGTATACCATTTCTGAGAAGTGGGACTGAGAAAGCTTGAACCCTCGCTCCACCACATACCAGTTTTGTGGCCTGTGGCAAGTTCATCTCTTCCCTTTGTATTTAAAATGGGGGTCATATTACCTACTTTAAATTCGGTGCAAATTAAAAGAGTTCATATAGGTAAAGTACTTGGTAAAATATCTCTGTATAGATACACATGGTAAACATTCGCTGTTACCATTATTACGGAGGAGAGGGGAGAGATTAGATAATAGCGTTGGGGTTTAGTTGTTTAATGTTTGCTTTGGGAGGGAGGGTCAGACAGGTTCGTCCAGGAATAATAATGGAGGGATAAAGCCAGGTTTAAACCTGGCACTTTAGACTTAAGACCGACGGGACTACTAGACAAAACCCTGCTGGAGCCTGCAGGCCTCTGGTTTGCTGCTGGCTCTTCGGGACACAGTGCGCCTCCTTCCAGTGTCCAGAGGAAGAAATAGCAGCTCCCGCCTGCCGACCTGCCAGCTCACTGACAGAGGCCACTGACAACCTTGAGACACGCTGACATGCTCATTACCTGCTGGTTCTTCCTGTTCTTCCCAGGCAGGAGGGTGGCCTCCCTGGGTGAAGGATTATTTCGTGGTCACTGTTGTGCAAGGTCCAGTGAAACTTAATGTCACTCTCAGACCTCGTCCGAGCGGCCATTTCTTTACTGTTCTGTCCTCCAGTTTCTCCTGGAAAGTACATTCCTTTCAACCTAACAAAAGTGTCTTTATATGTATGTTATATACTGTGCGTGTTGAGACAGCAGCAGTCGTTGGGAGTCACGTGTGTAACATGTGTAACGTGTAGTCTTCTCCTTTCTTTGTTGAAGCGCTCTCCGTCCTGTCCTCCAGCTAGCAAAGGCAGACGTGTAAG